CACGAACTCATTCGCATCAGCCAAAGCAAGTTCACCGTGTCAGACCTTTGTCGTATGGAGAAGATAATTTCCGAGAAGCTCAGTGTGGAGCCCAAAGCAGTGACAGCCTTAACCTTTCTTCAACTCTACTACTCGGCCTTCACAACTCTGTCTGCTGGAAGGTAAACATTCCCTTTGTTTGGCGTACTTTTTGTGATGCACTGCTTCAACTTGCATGGAGTTGGTTAAATAGATTCTGCTCTATGAGGTTTGTGCTGGTGGATCACATTAGGATTCCCTCTATATTTTAAGGGAGGAGATCCCAAGCATTGGGAGACTGGAAGCCCAGCTAAAAGCCTGCTTATGCCAGCTTGTTTTCTCTAAAGCAAAAGTAAGAATTGTTCTCGGGCGACAATTTCTCATCATAGCAGCTTCCATTTTGAGCTGCGGGATTTATTAATCTGCTGTTTTTCCTCCTCCACAGCCATCAGTGCTGGCGCTGTCGCTCATTGCTCAGGAGTTTGAAGCCCTCCAATCCACTGCCTTGTCAAAGATTGTCAAGCAATTCCAAAGACATCTAAAGGTATAAAAAGGGCACAGCTGTTAGGATTGTTGGGTCCTAAGGCTGCACCATCAGATTCTTTTTCATTATTCTTGACCTCATCAAATGTTTGCATTTAGTGAAAAACGTCACAAATTATGAGACACTGTGACCAACCAGTTATTACGAATTGTAAGATATGATGAAAAAATTTGTTTTAAAAAATACCAACACATAAACAATTAACTGATATATGTTCTTACATTTCTCTGATTCGTAACATACACATTTGTGTCATAATTTACAATGGGAATTATCACTGCCTGATCACATGCACATTTAAGTCATGAACGAAAACAACAGCTGACTTGTTGATGACAGCATATTTTGACTATTTTTGTCAGCTGCCTCTCAGATGTTTCCTGTTTCTCTTCTTCACAGATTAGTGACAGTGAGTTGCTCCGCTGGAAGGAACTTGTGGCCAAGTGCATGACCGAGTACCACTCGAGCGAATGTAACAAACCAGACAACAAGAAGCTGGTTTGGATTGTGTCCAGGAGAACCGCACAAAATCTTCAGGCCAATCACTTCAGTGTCCCTGGTCTGCCAACTATACCTGAAGGCAGCTGGGATGAGAGTGAGAGGTCAATACTCCATATTCCAATATAATCTATTTATTCTAGAGATCAACTCATCAGGAGTTTAGGAATTTTCAAAACCAGTGTTAAAAAGCAGATTATATGAGGGTGTATTTTGCATTCAAGCTCAGTATTATTTTTGATGACCTCCTCTTCTCTTTTAGTGAGGACTCCTGTGAAGACATGAGCTGCGGAGAAGACACTCCATTCGGCTCGCCAGGAAGTGACGGCGAAGGAGCCTTCTTCCCCTCTCCCTTTCACAAAAGCAGAAAGTGATGAGTGATGTGCAGTTGCGCAAAGTGTCAATCACCTGAACAGTAGCAAATTTAAGGTGCTCACCACGGTCCAGAGCAAACCTGTGTTTCACGTGTCATAATATATGTAAAACATGTGTGCCAGGTTTTGATTAAGTGCCTGTGTTGAATCGGTTTGTTGTTGGTTTGTTTAATGCTTAAAGAAAACATATCCTAATAATGCAAAATGGAAAAGTGCAATATCTTGGCAGCTTGATGGCAAAACATCTCAACATCTTTTTCTAACACGTTGTCTTTTTGTTTGTGTCCAAACTCGACACATTCCAGGAAAAAGAGTGAAGCACATGGAACAATGTAGTGGATGTCAGTCATGACATATGCTCACAGTTGAAACCAGCTAACACACTAGCTCACCCACAATCTTTTTTTAACAACAGTTTTTTATATTCAATGGCGTACGTATAAACTGTACAGAAAGTACTCAGCAAATGTGTGTTTATTTACTCACATACACAGTTTTAATGTAACTTATATGACAGTGTTACAATATCAGACTGTATATGCATGGACACATTGATGTATGTCATTATAAATGGATGTTCATGTTTACCAAGATAAGCTTACTGTAAAAATGTTTAAAAAAATGTAAATAACATGTAAAAAAAAGAAAAGAAAAAAATTTATGTTTTGTGAGCAAAGCTTAATGTGTGTGGTACTTGGATATATTGTGAAATGTGTTGAAAAGTCAGAAATAATCCATCCAAATAAAAAAAGGTTTTTTTTTTTTAATCTACCTCTCTTTTTTTCCACCCATAGTTATTTTACAAAGCTCATATTATCCTTTACTCATACTTCCTCATGCAGAGTGTCACATGCCTACAGAGGCTCTGTTAGTGTGACTGTTAACGCGTTAGGTTCATGGACACTTCCCAGACCACTGCCTTTAAACTGGATATTAAAGGGGTAGCATAAAATGAAAGTACTCTGGGAAAGTAGAAATACCTCACATTTTCATGGCTAAAGTATTTTGTACTGCTTCCTAAACGCACAGATTAAAGGTCAGAGGTCACAGGTTCAGGGATTTAATTGTCTCTGTTGTTTCCTGTTTTTAAGCCTCTCCCATCTCTGTCTCTATCCCCTTACATTTATTACTGCACAAGCTTTCCATTATGCTGAGAGCTGCACAAAAGCCTGGCACCATGTGTGTGTGTGATTCTGTCAAAGACAACCTTTTGCGGACACATTTCCGACTGAAAAGTAGTACATAGGGGACGGCTTGTCCTACTGGGGACAGAAGCTGTGGGGAAAAGTAGATTTTAAGTAGATTTTTGGGCAGATGTTAAGGTTAGAGGGTTAGGGTTGTCTTCCTGAATCTAATTTAAGTCTGTTAGTGGCTTCCTGTGGGGACACAACTAGAATCCAGTTAGTTGGGGACGGTTTGTCCATCTCCTCCTCCTAGGCTGTGACAACTTGATTGTTGCACACATCTTAGTGAGGACACTCATTGACATTATACATTCCCTATAGCCCCTTACTATAACCATCCAAACTAAATGCCTCACCCTAACCTAAAAATAACACTTACCCTAAACCAAAGTCTTAACCCTCAAACAGCCCACTGAAAAAGTGAAGACAGGTCAAAATGTCCTCACTGTGTAGGGTCTTAAAGGTCCTCACAGAGATATAAGTACAGGAACACACACACTTGCAGTTTTGAAGTCTGACTTTGGTACATTACTTAATTGTATTTATTTGTTTTTATAATATTATACAATATTTTTTCAACATTTTTAAAGAAATGTTGGTATATTTCTTGATGTATTTTACCTTTTTTCTCGGCTCATCAGTGTGTGTGTATGTGTGTATGTGTGTGTGTGTGTGTGTGTGTGTGTGTGTGTGTGTGTGTGTGTGTGTGTGTGTGTGTGTGTGTGT